AACAAATAAAAATTAGGGCATAAAATATTAAATATATATTAATATTGAAGAGCTAACTGCTGATTGCCAAACAAAGACATTGCGAGGTAGTTTTCCACTTCAATTTGTTGTGTGATTTGAATACTCTTTTTGTCAATAAATCCCACAAGTAGTTAATATGATTATCTTAATTATATTTTTTATTTTGTTTAAAACAATAATAATTATTTATTATTATTATTATTATTATTATTATTATTATTATTATTATTATTATTATTATTATTATTATTATTATTATTATTATTATTATTATTATTATTATTATTATTATTATTATTATTATTATTATTATTATTATTATTATTATTATTATTATTATTATTATGTCATTTTACATGTTAATCTAAACAACTAATTTTTTCAAATATCTTTTTATTTTTTTATATTATTATTATTATGTCATTTTACATGTCATTATTGGCTTAATTTTTTTTTTATTTTTCTAAAACAATTATTATTATTATTATTATTATTATTATTATTATTATTATTATTATTATTATTATTATTACTATTATTACTATTATTATTACTATTATTACTATTATTATTATTATTATTATTATTATTATTATTATTATTATTATTATTATTATTATTATTATTATACCCTTAGGTCATTTGACATGTTAATCTAAACAACTAATTTTTTCAAATATCTTTTTATCAACAGTTGATATAATTCGCTAATATAATCCGATAACGTTAACTGCTAACGACTGATTGTCAAACAAGGACATTGCGAGGTAATTCTCACATCAATTTGTTGTGTGATTTGAATACTCTCTTTGTTAACAAATCCCTCAAGTAGTTAATATGATTGGATTTATTAATTATAATTTTTTAAATTTTTCATGGTATTAATCAAATACTTGGTAAATAAATATATAGCATTATTTTGTATTATAACTTTGATATTTAATTAAAAAATAGTGCACAAAAAAGATAATAGACAATGTAGTGAATATAATCAATTGACGAATTTGAATGTAAAGAATTTTTACATTGGAGAAATATAAAGACAATATAACTAATAAAATTATTTCTCTTAATTAATTTATTGATAATGAATAATTTTTTTTTAATAAAGACATTGTAAGGACAATGTATCGAATATAATCAATTGATGAATTCGAATGTAAAGAATTTTTATATTGGAGAAAAATAAATACAATATAACTAATTAAATTATTTCTCTTATTTAATTTATTGATAATGAATAATTTTTTTTTGAATAAAGACATTGTAGACACATAATTCTAAATTAAAGAAATGCATATGTATTATTTTTTGGTGTAGCTACTAAATTATTATTTTAATTTAATAAGAGTAAAATAGAGTACTAATTATGCCAACTTAAATTGGGATGAGGTTCAAACCTAAGACCTTTTTTTTTATTGAAATTAATGAGTAAGTTAACGGTGAACTAACAGAAATTAACGGAAAAGATAATATTTAACGGAAAATCATATTCATTAAGGATAAATTAGGAAATCTTAAGGAAAAATTAAAATCTGATCAATCTGAACCATTCATTTGATTAAAAAATTTGACCACCATTTTTTCTACCTAACTCTCTTGGGCTCTTATTAGTATAACTAGTTTTTTACGCGCGATTGAGATAATGCCCAATGTTTTATTTTTTAAATAAGTACTTTAAAGTATATCAAGGCAAGATTATATTGAAATTGTTAATGCATAGATAATTGAATGTTAAATTTGTGTATTTAATAGGCAATTCTAAGTTAACAAATACAAGATAATATAGTCAAGATTGATTATAATTGTCAATAAAATAAATGTATAGGTATGGTTGAAACCAAATACGGGACATAAGGGAGAACAATAAAAATTCGGAAATAAAATATTAAATATATACTAATATTGAAGAGCTAACTGCTGATTGCCAAACAAGGACATTGCGAGATAGTTTCCAACTTCAATTTATTGTGTTTTTTGAATACTCTTTTTGTCAATAAATCCTCCAAATAGTTAATATGATTGGCTTAATTATATTTTTTTATTATTTTTTCTTATTTTTTTAAAACAAATATATATATATATATATATATATATATATATATATATATATATATATATATATATATATATATATATATATATATATATATATATATGCAATTTTTTCATTTTACATGTTAATCTAAACTGCTAATTATTTCAAATATCTTTTTACCAATCGTTGATATAATTCGCTGGTCAAATTTGCTAATATAATTCGCTAACTGTTGATTGTCAAACAAGGACATTGCGAGGTAGTTCTCACTTCAATTTGTTGTGTGATTTGAATACTCTCTTTGTCAACAAATCCCTCAAGTAGTTAATATGATTGGCTTTATTAATTATATTTTTTAAAGTTTTTTCATGTTATTAATAAAATACTTGGTAAATAAATATATAGCACTATTTTGTATTATAACTTTGATATTTAATTTAAAAATAGTACACAAAAAAGATAATGACAATGTAGTGGATATAATCAACTAATGAATTTGAATGTAAAGAATTTTTACATTGGAGAAATATAAAGACAATATAACTAATAAAATTATTTCTCTTAATTAATTTATTGATAATGAATAATTTTTTTTTTAATAAAGACATTGTAGGGACAATGTAGCAAATATAATCAATTGGTGAATTTGAATGTAAAGAATTTTTATATTGGAGAAAAATAAATACAACATAACTAATGAAATTATTTTTTCTTATTTAATTTATTGATAATGAATATTTTTTTTGAATAAAGACATTGTAGACACATAATTCTAAATTAAAGAAATACATATGTATTATTTTTTGTTGTAGCTACGAAATTATTATTTTAATTTAATAAGAGTAAAATAGAGTACTAATTATGCCAACTTTGATTATGATGAGATTCGAACCTAAGACCTTTCTTATTGAAATCAATGAGTAAGTTAACGGTGAACTAATTGAAATTAACGGAAAAAATAATATTTAACGGAAAAGTTAACGGATAATCTTATTCATTAAGGATAAATTAGGAAATCTTAAGGAAAAATTAAAATCTGATCAATCTGAGTCATTCATTTGATTAAAAAAATTGACTGCCATTTTTTCTACCCATTATAGGCCTAACTCTCTTGAGCTCTTATTAGTGTATATATTATATATATATATGGCTTCGAATCTGGTGCAACCCCTATACTAGATGAGCTCATGAAATCTCATGATATCCATTGATTCATTTTTCATAAATGGTTGAGATTATAAGAGATTGTGAAAGTAATTAAAGATATATTTAAATCAAAAGGATTAAATAGTAATTGTAGATATATGTTTAATTATGGATATAATTCAATTGGAATCTTAAGCATTATATTAGGGTGATTATGAATGGAAATTGATATTTTAAATTATTAGGGACCCTATCAATGGTAATAATTAATTATATTTTGTACATCTAAAATTTTAAATTATGGAAAAATTTTACGGCGGTGCGTGCGTGGGTGCGGAACGGTGTGTGAGTTTTATAGTTTGCCATGGTGTACACTTCCTGTTACAGAAAACCGCACACGTCATTCCACACCCGCGCACACACCATCGTAAAATTCTCCACAATTTAAAAAAAAAAAAAAAACAAGCCCAATACTATATCTACGTTTCGCACACGCCCGAAACTAGTAAAACACAAACCAAAATGTACATGCCTGTATCACGAAACGCACATACCAAAACACATAATTTTATGAAAAAAACCAGCACGCCATGATGTACGAGCCATGTTACAGTAAAACGCACACACCATTCCGCACCCATGCATACACCGCCGTAAAATTTCAAAGAAAATTACTAAGAGAGAGAGAGAAATATTGATTAAGGAGAGCTGAAATAACGCTACAAATCTTTATAAACATGGAAATAAATGAAATGGAAAGTAATAAATATAGTGGTTAAGGACAAAAAGACTCATGCTTCATCTAAAATTAGTATAACATGTGATCCAAGTGGTAATCAATCTGAATCGTCAAAAAATTAAAATCAACGATCAGAAAATGTGCTCACGGGCTCGACTAACTAGGGGGTGTGCACCGGATTCAAAATCTATATATATATATATATATATATATATATATATACTCCGTAGTAGATAAGAGATTATTTCATTAGTATTTTTATATTGTACTTTGTACCCCCAAAATCAACTAAACACGCACTTCATTGAGCGTGTTCTCAAACTTCAATAGTCCAATAAACGTGTATTCCTAACCGCCATCGTCAACTCTATAAATACACTCCCATCATACCTATATTCTCTTCCTCCTACAACTTTTTATAATCTCTCTTCCTCTATTCGTGATGTCATCCCTTTTATCTTTGGATTTAGGGTTCTTGCTACAACGGTCTGGGTTCGCTTTGGTTGTATTTGTCTCAACACGCCATCGGTTTGCTTTGTCTTGTGCTTAGGTTTAATAGTCTGGAGATTTTGTATTTGCGTTTATTGGTTGTTATTTGGATTCTGAATATTAATGGCTCTCTCTACCTTGATACTATCTCGATCACGATATAATTGGATATGATTCCTTAATATTCATACTGGCCAGCGACATCTTATGATACGTGCGACTTAGTATGTCTTTTCTTTTCTCTGTTTTTGGGCGATGGAGATGATTACCGGTTGAATTTTGGTTTATAAAGTTTTCTGTAGATATTGATTGCTATGGAGTTATCGGGTTGAACGGTGAGTTCCTGTGACCCATGTCGGATTATAGGCGAGATTCTGTCGTTGAGATGTGTTTGGTTTGGTGTTATTAAAATCTCTCATCAAACATCTTTGTTCTTATTCATCTATTGATGTGTTATGGCACTGATGCATACAAACTAAGTGGTTCTCTGGATTTTGTTGATGCTAGGTCCATATCTATGCCAACAGTTTGATGATCTTCAAGATTAGATGCTATCTACATCTACATCTAACCGTTTATTTCTTTCCTTTGTTTTGGGGTGATCAAGATGATTACTGTTGAATTATGGTTTATAAATTTTCTGTAGATGTTGATTGCTATGGAGTTATTGGGTCGAGGATTGAGTTCTTGTAATGGATGTGGATTATTAGCTAGATCCAGTCTTTGAGACGTGTTCAGTTTGGTGCTGTTATCTCTTATCAAACATCTTTGTTCTTATTCATCTGTTGATGTGTTATGGCCCTGATGCATACAAACTAAGTGGTTCTTTGGATTTTGTTGATGCTAGGTCCATATCTAGTGGTTCTCTGGATTTTGGTGATGCTAGGTCCATATCTATGCCATGATCTTCAAGATTAGATACTATTTAGATCGCCATCTAATTGGATCCAATACCTTATTTATAATGGCCAGCTACATCTAACCTTTCTTTTTCCTTTCTCTTTTCTTTCCTTTGTTTTGGGATGATCAAGATGATCACAGTTGAGCTTCATAAATTTTCTGTTGATGTTGATTGCTATGGGAGTTATTGGGTTGAGGCGTGTGAGTTCTTGTAACGGATGTGGATTATTGGCTAGATCCAGTCCTTGAGCCGTGTTCGGTTTGGTGTTATTAAAATCTCTCATCAAACTTCTTTGTTCTCATCCATCTATTGATGTGTTATGGGGCTGATGCATATAAGCTAAGTGGTTCTCCCGTTTTTGTTGATGCTAGGTCTGAGCCAACAGTCTGATGATCTTCAAGATTAGATACTATCTACATCGCCATCTAATTGGATCGGATCCTTTATTTATACTGGCCAGCTACATCTAACATTTTTTTTTTTTCTTCTCTTTTCTTTCCTTTGTTTTGGGGTGATCAAGATGATTATTGTTGGGGTTTATAAATTTTCTGTAGATGTTGAATGCAATGGAGTTATTGGGTTGAGGAGTGAGTTCTTGTAACTGATGTGGATTATTGGCTAGATCCAGTCCTTGAGACGTTCGGTTTGGTGTTATTATCCCTTATCAAACATCTTCGTTCTTATTCATCTATTGATGTGTGTTCTTATTCATCTATTGATGTGTTATGGCGCTGATGCATACAAACTAAGTGTTTCTTTGGATTTTGTTGATGCTAGGTCCACATCTATGCCAACAGTTTGATGATCTTCAAGATTAGATGCTATCTACATTGCAATCTAATCGGCCAGTTACATCTAACATTTTCTTTCTTTCCTTTGTTTTTGTTTTGGTATGATTAAGATGATTACTGTTGAATTCTGGTTTATAAATTTTCTGTAGATGTGATTGATGTGGAGTTATTGGGTCCAGAAGTGAGTTAATGTAAATGATGTGGATTATTGGCTGGATCTGGTCCTTGAGAGTGTTCGCTTTGGTGTTATTAAAAATCTATTCACACATCTTTGTTCTCATCCATCTACTGCTTATGCATATAAAACTAAGTGGTTCTTGATTTTGTTGATGCTAGGTCTATAGCTATGCCAACAGTCTGATCTTCAAGATTAGATATTACGTCATCTATGTGGATTGGATCCCTTAATAATATTGGCCAATATTGGCCAGAGACATCTAACTTCTTTTTTCTTTTCTTTGTTTTGGGGTGATCAAGATGTTTACTGTTGATTCTGGTTTATAAACTTTCTGTAGGTCAGATGTTGATTGCTATGGAGCTATTGGATTGAAGAGTGAGTTCTTGTAAGGGATGTGGATTATTGGCTAGATCCTATCCTTGAGAAGGGTTTGGTTTGGTGTTATTAAAATCTCCCACCACACATTTATGTTCTAATCCATCTACTAATGTGTTATGGTGTTGATGCGGAACTAAGACGTTCTCTGGATTTTGTTGATCCTAGGTCCATAATTATGCCAGCATATTATTTTCTAAGGATCCTTAAGGCGCTGTACGAATCTCCTAGAAACCTTAGATCTACTAGTTTGTGTCCTACTATAATTTTTGTGCAATTTATCTTCTTTGATGTTTTTCTTTTACTTCACTGACACTGGGGGGAGGACTCCAATTTAATTTTGTGGCTTTAGTCTTTAGTTTGATCTGTTGATCTTATCTAAGCAAACAGGTTTTTTGGAATTTTCTTTTTAGGTGCCATTACAGTTTTTGCATGTATGGGATGACATTGGAAGGGTGCAGCCAGGGAAGTTGTCATTTGTTTTTTCTATGGTTACAGAGCTAGAAAAGCTAGTTGTGCATAGGCCATGAACAGGGAAGCTTCCACTTTTATTTATATTCTTTTTAGTTCATACTCTTCATTTTGGGTTTTTTAGTTGTTCTAGAGCCTGTTATTTTGAGAAGTTTGTTTGAAAATTTCTTTCCCCAAATATGGTTTTTAATTGGCTTATAATATTCTTTATGTCTTGATTTGGTCTTCAAATTCAGATCCACAAGTTTTCTTTTGGACGTTACTATGTGGCCTTTATTTATTTCTACACTATTTGAACTTGTTGATAGGTGAATGTGTATCTTTGAGGATAAGTGCATCTTGGCACTCTAGTTTAGTTGTTTACTGCTTTGATCCAAACATGTGGACAGGTAAATGGGCATCTACATCTTGTGGACAAACAAACCTGTAAATTTAATTTCACTATATAATTGGTGCAAGTTTGCAACATGGCTGTTTGCCTAGTGTTATCACAGATCAGGAGTTCCAATTCTTACTATACTGACCATTCGATTTCACCCGTGATCCAGGCAACTCAACCTTCACATGTTTGATGAATGCTGGAAGCTATGGTTTGATATTCTTCCTGCCATTTCTGTCTTTTTTCAGTTATTATAGGTTTCTTTGTGCAACATGGTCTAGATGTATGGTTGTCATGTTTTTGAAGCCATTTTCTCTAACTTTTCTTTTACTGTAGCAGTTTTTAATTGTCTTTCCTTTCACTTATCCTTCTAAATGAGTCATCGTTTCCAAGTTCACTTGTGGCTGTCAGTGGCTTGGGCCTGATGAAGGTTACGTGAGTCTGTATCTCTAATTTCTGTCTTAGTGATGTGGTCTTTTGTTAAATTATGTTCTAGTGCATTGTGTATGAGTCACAAAAGATATGCTAGTCTCCAAGAATACGGTGTCATCACTCATTAGCATGCCATCTCAGGGATTGTTGCAACTTCCATCATGTTTCATTTGCTTTGATCATCTCTCTCCATTCCTTTCTACTGCTCGGCTATGTTCTTAAATTTTCTACGGTGACTGGTGAAGTGATGGATGGAGACTTCTTGGAAGGATAAATATGGTTGTAGATCTAACTACTCTGTATTTGAGGTGATTTTTGCTAGTTATATGTACATCAATGCAATGCTTTGTTTTATGTTACATGTGCCAGAGTAAAATGTGCGATGGACAATTGGAAGAATGGGAGTGATTATACATGTAACATAGTGCAGGCTGTGCGTTGTTTTCTAGTGCATCTTGTCATAGAAAAGAGGGTTTATGTCGTTTTTGGCCAGTTTAGAGATTGGGGAAACCTTTCAGCTGGTCATTGCTGTTCGGCAAGGTTTTGTTTGTTGGAGGTTTGTCGATCTTTTAAAGGATAACTGAGGCTATTGTTCAGTTTATTTGTATCTTTAAAAAACAAGGCTATAATTCTCTGTCACAGTGTCACTATGGTGACCCCAATGTCTTCCTTTTCCTGTTCAGTCCGATGTAGTATGGATGGGAGATTTGAATCTACATATGGATGCACTTCCATATGGGCCCTCTATTCTTGCAGGGTGCGTTCAAAAATGGGGTTAGACAGAGGTAGTGGAGGTGGCTTCATGTCTTCATGCATGAGAGTGGTACTGTTTGCTCTGGTTTCTCTTACAATCTAATTTGCTCAAGTTTCTTTTGCATTTGTGTACCACAGTTCCCTCCAGCTTCTGCTTACTGTCAACTCAAAACTTCTTTAAAGCTGGTTCTTTGGTTATTTGTGTGGCAAATTATTGATTCTCTATTTTTTTTATTTTTTTATCATGTTGCAACAAATGCCTTTTAATTTCGTTGCTTTTGGTGACAGAGTTAATGATATTGATTGCAATAGTCCAGTGTGCCTGATGTGTCTTATGATCTACTGGCGGCAGTTCTCATATTGTACCTTTAGATGGTCTTTGGTTTGCTGCACTTGTTAGTTGATTCTGTTGAGGGAACTGGTTCATATATTAGTTATGTGTGATATCATGGTCGATTCTTTTGATGTCTCTAATTCATCCTTTTATACCACCGTCTATTGTTTCTTATTGATCTTTTATACCATTGCCCATTGTTTTGTATGGTTCAATCATTCTTCTCTTTGGCTGGGGGAAGTTTCCCTGTATTCTAATGCTCTAGTTGTGACTTACCTCTCTTATCATGATGTCAGTGATCATAGTATAGAGCAAAGTTTACTTTATTACGTCAGTCAAGGAAGTTCGTGCGTATGATCAACTATGGTGTCCGTGCATATCAGTTGTGATTCAGCGCATGGATTGGTGAATGATTGAATGGACATCTTGAAGGGCGTGTCACTTTTTTGCCTTAGCTATGGTGGATGGGAGCAATCTTGAAAGATAAATAAGGCTGTTAATATGATTTCTCTGCTGGTATGCTGTTTTTTGAATGTGCTGATTTCAAGATCATGGTTGTCATTTGGAAGGATGGATAGATAAGAATAGCTAAATTAACCTTATCTTACTCTGGTGACTAGTTACATGTAACATGTTAAAATCATTGTGCCAGTGGTGCCTTGTTTTGTGTTGCATATTCTACTGCGTTCCTTTTCCTATTCGATCTGATGAAGTATGGTTTTGAAACATGCTCTTCTTAATGTGATGTCCACTAAGATTATAGTTTGCCATTTTGTTGTGAGGTGTATCCAAGTATGGGATCAATGTAGACAGCTGGTGTAGGTGTTAGTGTGAGGTGTATTCAAGGTTTGTTTAATGTTGGTTTAGCACTATCTCCTTGGTTTCTCTTACCATCGAGTTGAGTTTCTTTTATGCCGGTACCAGTGGAAATATATTTTTATGTTTGTCATTCAACCGTTCTGAACTTTCATGCCACCACTTATCTCTTGTTCTGGGTCCTGCTTTTTTCCGTGGTCTTCCTCGGGACCTTTGTTTGCGGAAGCTGTTGATCACTGGATACCTTGGGGAGGATAAAGTGAATGCATTGAATTTCAGTGAAGACATCTATTCAATATTGTTCAACAAGTCTTTTTCTCTTGTTGCCTGTGGTCACAGAGCAAGTTGATATTCAATCAAACTAGTCATTGGTGTATATTCAGTTATGTGGAAGTTGTGATTCAATGTATGATGACAGAACACAAGGGGTGTGCTCGGACTTTTAGCTATGAACAATTTTTTCTAGTGTGTTCTTTGTCTTCTTGAAGAAAGTGAGTACAAGTTTGAATTTTTCTGTTGGTTTACTTGTTTTATGCTACTATATGGCTTTTTGGGATAAGTTACTTTGGAGCAGGCTATGCTTTTTTGGCTTGAAGACATTGCAGTAGACTTTTCATATACACCATTTCAGAGTGCTGGAATGGTTATGACTATTATGCTGATCAAATGTTTTAAAGGTGCATGCAATTATCGCTTTGAAATCATTTTTTGACCAGTATGTGCTGTTGAATATTAAACTTCATCTTGGTTGGCTTTGGCTCAAGATCAATAAGATGTAGGTGAGTCTTGTTCTTTTATTTAGGTTTTATAGTTGTTGTGCATGGTGTAAAAGAAACAGAAACAGCAAAGAGATCACAATGAAGGTGACCTAATGTTTGTGATCTAGGCTAAATTAAATTAGATGGGGTAATAGATTTCTGAAATGGTGTTGATCATTGATTTTGAAGCAAATGTTTCTTTTTCCTCTGCTGAGTTGTTGAGGTCTTCACTCTCTATGACAGTCTCACCATCTGTGCTAGTACTAATCTTTATCTGCCGTTTCTTCTTCTTTGTGTGTTTGTGTGTGCAGTAGTTAGCAATCTTGTCTAGGTAGTTCCATTAATTGTTAGTCTAAGTTAGCTTTTTAACTCCGCCTGTGAAAGCAGCCGGTCCCAAGCCCGGATGAAGGAGGAGGGAAAAGCCAATAAGTCTGCTTTTGATTTGAGTTGAAGTGATTTGTAATTTTTCTAACTGGTGATTATTTTAAGTAGTATATTTGCCAGTTGTCCATAGAAAGTGAGGCTATGATTTTAATCGTTCATTTGAATTTATTAATGGTCAAGGTTTTAATAAAATGGCATGATGTTGATTATAATTATTACAAATTTAAAAGTTTGTACACAGTAATATTTATTATAAAATGAAGTTTATTATTTATTTCTCTATTTTCAAGCTACGTAGATGGATAAATCAAAGTAGTCTTCATTTTGTACGAAGCATATTTTCACTTAAACCTCTTATATATATTTTAATTTTAATAATTTTTTTGTACATCAATTTTTTAGTATAAGCATTAAAAAAGAAAAATATATTTTAATTTTAATAATATATTTGTGTTCGTTAATTTTATTTGTATAAACATTATATTTTAATAATATATATTTGTACATTAATTTTATTTGTATGAACATTAAAAGAGAAAAATAAATTTTATTTTTTGAAAATAGAGATGACTTAAGATTCATATTGATAGTTTGACTACTAAATAGGTATTGTTTTATTAAAGTTTACTGATCATTATAATAAAGTGACTTATTTTTATTTTCGTCTTAACCATCAAAGCTTATGGTGAATAAGATGATTCTTTTTTATAAATAAATAAATAAATATTAGTACTATCATTTGTGTTGTAAAACTAGGTGTATCCTAGTGTGAACAGATATAGTAATATACAAAAAAATGAGATACAGACAATCATCAATCTTTCATTATTCATCCTTTAATCTAATATATATAGAGTATCAATCTTTCATTATTCATCCTTTAATCTAATATATATATATATATATATATATATAGAGTTTTTCTAATAGGGAGCAATTCACTAAAATAAAATAAATTCGAGTTAGTATTGAACTAATTCTAGTATAATTTGGAATGGAAAGGTATTATTATAATATAACTCCTCTAGTAATGAAAGAATAAATTTTTGTTGTTAAGGTATCCTCTATCTTCATTATCCTTTCGAGTCATTTTTTTTTTTTTTTACTTCAAAAGATTATTTGACAATCGATAAGTACATGATACTTATCCATCCATATAAAAACATGTCAATGACATTTTTCTCCTTCGAGGAAATGCTCGAACTGCAAGTTGATATAATACTTGGTTTCTCCCAGTCTTTCATTTCAAGCTTCATTTTTAGGCATGAACTAATATAATCTGACTCTTTGTGTATTTCAATAATGTTTATAAAAAATAACTCTATTAGCAACTCTTTGGTCTTTGAGAAGAAAAACACAGTCAAATGATTGACTTTGACATATAAAATTTAATATTATATATACTGTGATTTTCATTTTCTCTCATTTCGAGAATATTAAATCCATTAGGGACTTTTTAAATTTGTTATTTACTGCTAATGATATTCTGTAGTGGATTTGGTCAAAACCAATTCTAGGTCTCTGCGTGAACCCTTCTTGTGTTACAAAGATCATTTTATATCACACAACCCCATTATTCTTATTTCTCTTTTGTACAAGCACTCATTTGTGACTTACGCGGTTAACATTTAAAGATATACGTATTATAAAGAGAATACACATTTTTAGTGAGTTGAGTTATGCTTTAATTGTTCTTTTATATATTAAATAGTCAGGGTGCTTCTAGCGGCTATCTTTTAATCCAGATTGTCCTATAACATCAAGAGCAATTATATTGTCGAAAATTATAATATTTTTATCATAAATTTCTCATTATTCATAAAATTTATGACAATTTCTAAATAAACCAAATTCTAGTCATTTTTTAAAGATGTTTAGATTTGGTTGTTCCACATCTCCAATATTATGATTATTTAGCCAAGTATACATCTTGGATTAAAATGCAAGTAAAAACAAAACAATTAGCCAAAACATACCAACTCAATAATCTTCGCTGTCAATTTTAGGAAACATTAATCCAAAAAGATTAATAATCATTCAGACTTCAGAGCAAATATGGTAAAATAAATGCTAAAATTCCAGAACACCATTAACCAACAATTACCTATTCAAAAAAGCACTATAAACCACCAAGGCACGTATCTACAGTTCTACAGGAGTACAGGCTACACTAGACGTCTAGAAGTGTAAGAAGACCACTAAGGCACTAACCTCGCCGTCTCACTGCCTCGTCGAATCGCAGTTGTCGCTGCTGTCTCCACGGCTGGTCTCGGCTAATGGCCGAATGGGGATTCTGATTAGGGATTTAGAGGAGTGTTTGGTTCAAGTTATATAAAAGATAGGTAAGATTATATTTGCTTAGGAATATAAGATTTTCATGTTTAGTTCAGGTTATGCAATTTTCTCAGTAAATGTCACGTAATCTTCATATTGAGTTTTTAGTTTTTTCTTTTCTTTTTCTTTTTGGAAGCATATTGAGTTTTTAGCTATTGGAAGGAAATGTGAAATACCTTCTAATTTCTTAGGTAATCTCACATTCCCTTATCTTATTACTAATTTTGAGCTTTTAGCGTTTCAATAAATTTGTCTTGTTACAGTTGTCTTATTTACATACCTTACTAAACAGGCTAGGCCATAGGCCCCTATGAAGGGGTCTGGCCTATTCCCACCCATAAGAGGCCGGATTTTCTAACTAGAGGTCTAAATGGCTTGCGAGGCTAAGGGGAGAGTAAAAAAAAAAAAGAAAAAAAAAAGAGAAGATTTTGTTGTCTAAGGAGCAAGGAAAGAGAATGAGGTATAGGTCCAGCCGTCTAGACCACCAAAGGAAAACCAATTTAAAATGTATTTGAAGGAATTTCCGACCATGTTCCATTGTCCGGCATAAGGTTACTTACCCCTCGTATGTCGCAGCTCATCTACACAGTGAGTATGTAGACTTGGGTCATTTACATCTGGCAACTAGTTCGCACCCCAGACTAGAGTATCCTTTCCGTCACTGATTCTTCGACCGATCCCCTCCTTTAACAGGTCTTGAGCTGCAACCATACTTCTCTAAATATAGCTTGGGTTATGCCCCAAACCTGCTACGAGAAAATCTCCACTGGAGAAGTACCTGGCTTTAAAAATTCTGCACACAAGAGAATCAGGGTTGGTGAGTAAACGCCACCCTTGTTTAGCTAACAAAGCAATATTAAACTCATGTAACTTCTTAAAACCCAGTCCACCCTTTACTTTTGGTAAAGCCAGGCATGACCAACTCATCCAATGAACCCCTTTCCTCTCGGAGCTGCCACTCTCCCACCAAAACCGATTCATAACCTTTTCAATAGCCTGGCAGGTTGTTTTTGGCAGTAAGAAAACAGACATAGCAAAAATAGGCATGGAAGATGCAACACTCTTTAAAAGCACCTCTTTCCCCGCTTTAGACAATAATTTTTTCTGCCAAGCTGACACCCTGTCCCTAACATGTTGCTCAATATAACGAAACACTGCAGTCTTATTACCGCCCAAAAAAGATGGCAAACCCAAATAATTACCAAAATTTGAAACATGTGCGACACCAAATAGACTTGTAACATGATGACACACATCAGGCTCTGTATTTTCACTAAACAAAATACTGGACTTATTGAAATTAATTGCCTGACCTGAAGCTGCACAATAAACTTGTAAACAATTCTTGACCTCATTCACCTCCACGTCATTCGCTTTGAAAAAGAGAAGGTTGTCTTCTACAGAAAAACAGATGGGAAACTTGGGGGGGGGGGG